TCAACCAGGTGTTCCAGTCCAAAACTGGACCCTTGGCAACCCTACCTCAGAAAAAATAAGGTTGAAAACCCCCACATTGCCACAAGTGTAGACCAACCTTAAACCATCGTTAAAACAGACCCAGGACTTCAGTAAGAGCTTGATCCTGTGCAGCATGGGTGGGGGCGGGGGGCAGTATGTTGGGAGCAGAAGAGCATAGTAAACAGTGTTGTACTGAAGATGGAATGCAGGGCATTCTGAGCCTGCATTCATGAGAGCACTGCTAGGCAACTGCCAAATTTCTCCTGCCTAGTAGCAAGAGGCATCAGCCTCAAGAGGTAGCAAGGAGCGTTGGCCTAGATTTTTAAAGGTATTTAGGTATTGTGCCATTCAGACTTGGGAGCCTATCCTAAGTCATTTTCAAAAGCAACTTATGCACTTTAGAGCCAAAGTTGCTCTGGCATCCAAGTCCTAGAGACTGGCGCTTTGCTCTGAAAAAATTGAAACATTCAAAACCAAAAATCCCTGACATCATAATGTGGCTTAGATGGGACTTCACACAATCTAACCCCTGCCAAGATGCAGAGTTTGTTGGATTTAAAGATGAATGTTTTTCAATGGTTTAGGCAAACTGAAAAAGGAGGGAAAAATGTGTTTCTTTTACTTTTCTAGATTTGTTTTAACCTTTACAAAATAAAATTGAAGTAAAATTTGACCAGAAAATCACTGATACGGAAAATTGGAAGCTTTTCCTTTAGACAATGTAGAAACAAAATGTTTCAATTTTTTAAAAATTTACTGATTTTTTTTTTTATTGCACCAATTCAGCGAATTCAGTATGACTGCCTGAAATGTTTTAGTTGATCCTAAATTGCATTTGTTTGTGAAAAAAAAGTTTTGTCTGCAAAATCTTGTGCCGCTCTCGTTGCAACACCTAGCTGTTACAAAACTGAGTCTGAGTGCCTGAGGAACATGAGGCTGGTGCTTAAGTTCTCTCAGAAACACCAGTTCTTGCCTCCACCCAAACCTTTTGTGTCCTGTACACATGAGGATGGGAGTGGGACTTCCATTCAGTGCATGCTTCGATGCTTTGCAGAATAAGGTTTGTTTTCTGAATAGGGGCTTGGATCTGCAGGGAGTTTGGGATTTATGATCATAGAGTCATAGAAGATTAGGGTTGGAAGAGACCTCAGGAGGTCACCTAATCGAAACTCCCGCTCAAAGCAGGATCAACCCCAACTAAATCATTCCAGCTGGAGCTTTGTCAAGCCTCTTCTTAAAAACCTCTAACCAACTCTCAAAACAACCCATTCCAGTGCTTCACCATTCTCCTAGGTTTACAGGAGCGGTCGACAAAGGCTTCCCTTGTTGATTGATCCGCATCTTGACTCGCGCGCTGTGCGCGGCGGCCATTTTTATTTTAATGAAGCCGGGGATATTTAAATTCCCGCTTCACTGACTATGTCGGGTAGCCTATTTTACATTTTTCTGTGGGCAGAGGCATGTAGTCTAGACATACCCCTAGTGAGGTCTGGTCTTACCCTAGCAACTTATGTTGATACAGTTACATCAGTCAGGGGGTGGAAAATCCATACCACTAAGCAACGCAGTTATACCGACCTATCTGCCAGTGCAGACCATGCTAAGTCAAAACTACAGCCTCTCAGGAAGATGGATAGAGATTACCTATGCCAATGGGTGAAACTCTCCTGTCAGCATAGGTAGCATCTTTGCTGAAGCACAACAGCAGCATGGCGGCAGCATTTTAAGCATAGACAAACCCTCAATGTAGAGGACTTAGCTTAACCCTTAAGGCTATTGAAGCCCACATAGGAGCATCTATTGCACCTTCATGGGAGGCTGCACCCTAAGTAAGGACTTGCAAGCTCAAGCCCTAGGTGTTGCTGGGTGCTGAGTTGCTCTGCAAAAGGAAGCGGAATGTTCCATGGTGCTGACTGGGGTATTGGGATGCAATGTGGCTATATTCAGACTTATCTAGGATACTGGGTGTTTCAGGTTATATTTTATTTTGTCCAGGGGTGTAAAATGTGCAACAGGTATGTTTGTAGGACTGCCACCTCATTAGCCAATAGGGTTACAACCAAAAATAAATCAGACCTAAGAAATCTAACAATATACTGCTCTACAGCAATTAGTGCAAGTCAAGTAAAACATTGGTTCAACACATAAAAAAAACAATTAAAAAGGCATTTCCAGGCCACAGGTATTATACACTGCGCTGTAAGGAGGTCACATTTTTCAAGGGGAAGAGAGCGTGGGAAAGCACACAGTAAGCATATTTAAGCTTAGCCTGAATTACATTTTTGAACCTTTCCATCAGCCTCCTCCACCAGCCCCCAAAATCACAAATTTGGTTTAAAAAGCACAGGATTTTCAAAGAATGCTAGAAGGTGGGGACTTTTACTCTCTGGTTTCTGAGCCTTGTAGACAAGGACATTTTCACACTTTCCTCTGCAAGCCTGAACACTACAAACTTGCGGTTTTGATGCAAGCCGAGAGACTCCTGCAATCACCTGACTCCAGGAGCTGGGGCTTCAAGTAAAACACCAACTATGAGACACATGATAAAAGAATGAGCGTTGGAAATATTGGTTCCTTCACCATTGTCTGTGCAGTAGCTCTCTACCTTCGTGCACCCGGCCAACTATTCTACCCAGCCAACGGGGAAGTGGCCTGGTGGCAGAGTTGCTCTCACTCTCCAACTGTCCCTGCCCATTTGTGGGGGCTCATGAGAAACTCCTGTCTGTACAGAATGAAACATTCTGCAGGTAAGTTCTCTCTTTTGCCTTTTCACAGAGACAAAAGAAATATGATGACATTACCATTATCAGGCTTACAAAAGTAGTGGAGAGTGATCAGAAGTTGGCAGAACTGGCTCCCTCTCTGTTTGCAGCACCCGCTTTTCAAAACCGCGGCCTCACGAGACTCATAGACTTTAAGGTTGGGATGGGTATGTTTACACTGCTGCCGGAAGCGTGACTCCCAGCTCGGGGAGACAGACATGCGCTAGCTCTGCATGAGCTAGTGTGCTAAAAATAGCCTGGGCCTTTCAGCACAGACTCAGTATAGACCTGGGGAGCTGAGCAGACTTGGATTCGGGTGGCTAGTCTGTGACACAATTTCTATGCTGCTACTTTCTGAGCAGTAGCTCAAGTAGAGCATATCTGTCTACCCGGGCTGGGAAACACAATCCCAGCGGCAGTGAAGACATATTATGCTAGAATGATCTGTCCCATTATATTGTGTAACTATAGTGCTAATATGTTTTGTGTGTATGACTTATCAACCAGTTTATCGATATCTTTCTGGTACTGAGGAGGATGGCTGCCTGAATGAAATTACTGCATGCTTTTTTTAGGAGTTTGTGGCCAACTGGGAAATTTGACCAGCACTTAGCACTTATCCTTTCACCCTATTAACTGAATATCCGGCTACTCAAACATCTGGTGTCTCAAGGTGATTCAACTGGGGCTCTACCAGTTGGACAGAGTTATATGTGGTTTTCTGTATGATTTCTAGTCACTGCTCTTATGAGGAATGTCAAACACTCTGTTGGTTTTAGACTTTTAATGTCTTAGTCCCATTTTTCAGGTTTCTGGCTTTTTCTAAAAAATTGAGAGCTATATCGTTTTTTAGCTGTGACAAGAATGATAGGCCATGAAGTCAACAAGACTATACTACATGTGTAAAGTTAGGCATATGCTTAAGTACCTTTATTATCTGGGCCATAATAACAATGGTGAGAAGTGGAAGAAGATGCTACCTCACTAGCATGACCAGACATCCCAATATTATTGGGACCATTCTGACATTAGGGATTTTTTTCTTAGATACGCAACTATATTGCCTTTCCCCCGATCCCTGAATAAAGGTCCCACTTTTTGACACTTGCTATCTGGTCACTCTACACCTCATCAATAGTTCAGAGAGAATGTCCTCAAACCTATTTCCTGTCCAGGCAAAGGGCTGGATTCAGATCTCACACCAGTTGAAATCAGAAGGGACTTTATTGCAACTAACAGAATCACACTGCTATAAATGCCATCAGCCTCTGACTCTCCAGAAACAGCTGAAAAGAATTTAATTGACAGACACAATTGACATGCAGTTCATGATTAGGAGAGCAGTGCAGAGTTATGGAAAAGTCATGGGGAACGCACAGTGAGTTGCTCACTCTAATGTTTCCCTCCACCTGTATATATATACCTGTGGCCTGACATCACTGCACAACATTGAAATGTAAAGAAACTGCAAGGCAGAGATAGAGTCTGTTATATTCCTCCCACCATGAAATGATCTCAGCCAGCTACATATAACCAAAATGAGCTCATTCGGGGAAAATCAACCTTAACTTCTTACTTATTGTAAATAATAAGAGCAATGGTTTCTGCTAACCATAAACATTGTAGTTAGACAATTAAATAAGGAGTGACTATCTTACAAAAAGCCTTTGGACACAGCCAAATTTGTATAATTCTGCAAACAAACTGGCATTTAAATGTTGCTGTAAATACTTGCCATTGGTTGAACTTCTGGGACTTATCTTTCCAATGTTTTCCACACACACACAAGAACCAAGTCCTGCTCATAATTTAAGAGACTCAATTAATACTGTTTAATAAATATGCAAAAGTAGCTTGTCTTTTTAAAAAATCTATAGGGTCAACAAAAGTTAAGGATGATTGTCCCATGATTAACTAAGGCAAACTTGTTTGTGAATCTTTTTTTTCCCTTTCTCTTTTTGTACATAAAGCAATCACATAAAAATAGTTATAAATAGAAAACTTCCAAAGGTTTTTGCCCCACAGACAAACAGGAAAAAAAATAAAAACAAAAAAACAAAAACAACAAAATTAAAAACAAAACCACACCTTGCTTCAAGTTCTTGTAGATTATACAGTACTCAGCATCTTTGGATACTTTACAAGACTCCAAATCGTAGACAAAAACACCTGAAATAACCAGTTGTCTGCAAAATGTAGTTTGTATAAGAAGTCGGTACATATACAAAAAAAAGTCTGATGCAGTTTTAAAACGTTTTCTTTCCAGTCCCCCTGTTCATTTCACAGAGAATCTCTGAATTTATTTTTGGGGGGAAGGGAAGAGGGAAAACTCCTGTCAGGCAGTTCATCAGGGTAATTTTTTAAAATGTGTTCTCAAAGCAGAGAGGAGCTATTTAGGCTTGAAGTGCTTCTTGACAAAGGGAATCATATGTGAGAATGACTCCGAAAAGGCTACTCATTTTGTCCTCTGGATGTAGCAATGTCAGTGCTCCAGTAGAGAGACCCCCTCATTGAATTGTGACTGAAGAGCAGCACCTTTGATGAATGAACTGAAATTAAAAAAAAAAAAGGTGGTCCTCTGCTTCCCTTTGATTCTGCTAAACCCAAAAGGTAACAATAAAAAGAAGAGAGAACACACCCTAGTTTTTAAAATTTACATTTTCAAACCTTGGTTAAACTTAAACCAGTCTCTGTATTAGCATCAAACTAACAGCAGCAGACTCTTAATATGAAGTTATCACCACTGTGTAAAAGGTGAAATAAGAAGCACGTTGTTATAAGCTCTGTATTTCTGAGCTGACAAATGCTGAAACATGATTTCTACTAGCATGCAGTGACAGTCTTGTATTGGGGACTCTCTAGAATAATCATTTTCAATCAGGATCCTCGGAGCAATATCCGAATCCTTTTCCCAGGTGATCCTGTACAGCAGGGTCTTTGTATGCGCAGAACTCAGTCAAGGGACATTTGCTAGTAATTGTGAAAGACCCGAGACCAGACCTTCAGCTGCAGTAAATCACCATAGCTGCACAGTGCGGCATTCATTTGCACCAGCTAAGAATCTGGCTCTTTCAGACTGTTTTTGTCATTTGATTACGGGGTTAAAAACACAATTCTTATACCCAAAAGCACCAAGGAATTTAGAAGTGACAAAAAAAAAAAATGGTTTCCCATCTTCATTGATGTTCAAGCTGACCATCTGGAAAGTCATGGAAATCTCCTTCTGACGTGCTGTCGTGGCCTCCACACTAAGGCCCATGGCTTTCAGAAGCATTCAAAAGACCAGCAGCCTGCAGCCGGAAGCTTGACCCTTCCCACTCCCTCAAAATTGGATTCCGAGAGCTAAGGGGAAGCTCTAGTGTTGGGAGGCGACAAGCTTGTCAGCTGATATGCCAAGCGCTGTACAAATGGTCTAAAGGGACACCGACAGCAGACTGTTGCTGGTGGAGCCACTGATGCACTCAAACCCCATTTCCTAGTGTAAGCATCAGTCACAGACTAATATCAACAGCAGCACTTCACTCGGAATAACGTCCGTTGTTTGTTTGGGTGTAGCGCTGCAGCACAGTCTAGATTCACATGGGCAACCAATCATTTATTTGGCGTGAGATGATGGGAGACAGCAGGCAGGAATCAGAGGGAGTCATTCACTCTATAAGAATGGTACAGAATGTACCACACCCAATGGATGGGTTGAATTGGTTTAATTGCTAGCCTCAGAAATTGGGGCTACATGGTTTAGTCCAGGCAATCCATTGAACCCTGTGCTCCAGGGGTCCGGGAGAGGGAAGTATGGCCGTGCTGAGATGGTCTCGTTATGGCCCAGGGCAAAGGTAAAGATGCCCCCGTTCCTTTCCATGTCCAAGTGTGTCCTCCCAAACAGCTTCATTTGGGTTTCTTCAAACTGGCTCTCTAGATCTTGCAAGTTTAGCGAGTTCTTGGCCCCACTCATGAAGTGCTTGTGGCTGGGGCCTGGAAGGCACACGGCTGTGGTGCCGAGATGGCTGCTCATCTCCTCCAGAGTCGGAGGCATCATGAAACCTTTCTCATTTGACTGGCCGTTCTGTGCAAACAGTAAGCTGGCCGCCCTCCAGGCTGCAGGCTTGCGCCCTCTCCTGGGCCTGGATATTCGACAGCTCTGTCGCTTGATGTGGCGGTGGAGGTGGTCGGAGCGAGTGAAACTCTTGTAGCAGAATTCGCACTGGTAAGGTCGGACGCCCGTGTGAATGCGCATGTGGTTCTTCAGGTCATAGTTGTGCACGAATTTGGCGTTGCAGTGGATGCAGAGGTATGGCCTTTCTCCTGTATGTTTCCGCATGTGGATTTTTAGCTTGTCCTGCCTACAAAACAAAAGTCAAAGTCACCTGTTGTCACTTGAGCATAAATGCTTAAAGGTGCTGTTACTCTAAGCCACAGCTTTAACTTTTTTTTTTTTTTTTTTGGTCTCAGAGGGTTATCCATGTTAGTCTGTAACTGCAAAAACAACAAGGAATCCTGTGGCACTTTAAAGACTAACAGATTTATTTAGGCATAAACTTTTGTAGGTAAAAACACTTCATCAGATGCATGACCCAAGCTCCTCTGCTGTGGCTAGCAGGGCTGGCTAAGCTTGCAGTATAGTACCTGCATCCTTTTAAAGGATGCAATGCTCTCTCCCCTTCTAGCAGTGGTTTGGCTACATATTGATGCACCTACTGCAACTTTAGCTTACAGAGTCTTTTAGTTCAAGGAGTAGAGGCTTTAAAACCCCACAGTCCCAGGTTCAGTCCCCCCGGGCTCTCTAGCATGGCACATGCAACAGATGAAAGGTTTGACTCTACCCTGTTACCATCAACTCTGTCTATGAAATTCTGCCTTTCTTGTGTTGTTCCAAAATGTACTTTGCACTTAATGTTTTCTAAGTATTGCATGTTCTGCTACAGCCCCACAATCACATCCTTCTACTTTCAGGTCCTGCATCCGGTCCCTACACCTTCAAAATAAATTGTTTGATTAAAACAAAAACAAAAAAAAAATCCTTTCCTATAATCAAAGATAGTTTATCTTTTACTGGAACAACCTCCATTGTTGAGAGACAAGTTTTCGAGCTACTCTCAAAAGCATGTCTTTCTCACTAACAGAAATTGGCCCAGTAAAAATATAATCTCACCCTGCTGGTCTGTCCATTATCCTGGGACCAACATGGCTAAAACTGACCTTGGTGAGACTGGCATTGCTAATTAATGCATCTTGGTAAAATATAATTTGGTGCTAAATCATCCCTTCCTGTTATACTCCTAATGACCACTAGGTGTCTCATGAGCTTGCTTTTTAATATGATTCAGTTTAAGATTCTGAGATTGTTGTACAATAGGATATTTACATTTAGCACTAGCTGTTTACAGTGATATTCCAGGTGCTTGCACAAGGATTTACAATTTGCCATATACATGATTTAAATTAAATGGATATTGTGCAGCTCCAAAGTTAGAATTCAGAGAAGATTTTTAAAAGTGCCTATTGGATGTATTATCCAAATGACATTTATTTGTTAAAAGAAAAATATATCCTTTGAAAAAATCTAAGACCAACAGAAACATTTCCATGATTTTTAAAAAATTCCATTGATTTTTAAAAAATGAATAATTCTCTTGCAATGTTTGCAGCACAACTTAAGATCCTAGAAGGGGAAGCTGTGTAGCCCATTTAAATTGGCCAAAGGGAGAGAAAGGCAGAAAGTAAACAAACTGCATAGGAGTAGAAAGTAAATCTGATTTCTGAAATCCTTTTGCTTTTATTTATCTAAAATGTGTGTAACGTGATGAAGATTAAATTATATTTATATATTCAAACAAAAACATGACATTAAAAGAACATTATTAAGGCTGCAAAGTCAAGCACCCAGAAAATTAGGAAATGCCAGAATTAAGGTTGGCTGAGCTAACAGAGTAATTGAGAGCCGTAATTGGCAGGGGCGTCATTTCAGAAAAATTCTCAGAGAGAGGGAGGGGGTCAAACTTATGTATATAGAACATGTATGTGACTATATTATCAGATGTGAGGGGGCACAAAATAAGAGCATATAGACCTATGGAAAATCAGGGGCAAACCAAAGTTGGAAGGGTAGTTGCTCTTTTTGTCCCTTGCAAGTGAGGCCCCTGGTAGTCAGTTATCATCCTCGCATGGACCGGCACTACAGAGCTATGGGCTTCTTTGCCTGGGTTTCACAGATTTTTGCTGACTGCAGGGGAATCTTAGGTTCCCGTCCAGTCTCTGGAGGGCAGTGCGTTCCAGCGGTCACAAACTCTTCTGCCCTTTCCCCACTAAGGGTGACCCCTTCTGCCCAGTTCCCTCCAACAAGTCCCTGTGCTAGTCCTGTTCACCCTCTACCTCAGCTCCTTGTCCTAGCCAGTCGCAGTCTCTGCCCTCAGGCTTCTCATCCTGGCCCCATTCTCCGTGCCCAGCCAGGCTAGTCTCACCGCTCTGGATTTTTTATCTCACCCTACTCCCAGTCTCCTTGCCAAGCCATTCCCAGCTCCTCCCACCTTCACAGCTCCTGTGCCCAGATAGTCTCAGTCTTCCCCTCACTGTCCCTCATCTGATCTGTCTCTCTGTCTCCCACATTCACCATCTCAGCCCCAATCTCCTTGACCACAGTCCCAGTCCCCTCCCTCCCAACTCCCTGTCTGTTTCCCTCTCTTCCACACTCCCACCAGCCTCCAGTGTCTCCTCTACTTCCAGCTTCTTGTCCCAATCTATAGAACTCTACACGGATACAAAATTTTTATCCTCATCCGCATCAGTATCCACAAAAATAAGCTGCGGATAGCTGTACTGACATCTGCAGATGTGGATACCCATGGATATAAAGTGGATATCCACAGATTTGCAGGGTTCTCCCAATCTGTCCCTCAGCTCTCCTGCAGGGCCAACTCTTGTCTCATTTGCATTTGAATCAGGCAACTTCCTCCTCTGCCTAGCAGAGAGGGTCACTGAGAGCACAGGAGAGAAAAGCTCCCTGTTTTCAGTTCAGATGCTCAGCCCTTCACAGTCCTGTTGCGCCCTGGTGGATGGTATCTTTTGGGAAATTTAGCTACCGATCACATATACATTTCTATTTTTCAGAGGCTCGTAGCTTGGCCAAATTGGGGTAGATTTTCATGGGGAAGGCAAAACGCACATCCCTGACAAAAATGCCAAATTTCAAATCCCTCCTCCAAAGCCCAGGGACACTAGAGCTTTGCAAAGAAAAGGTCATCGGAATTTCTTAAAATAGCAAAAAAATGTATTTTTCCCTAGCCTCATTCTCAGAAATGGCTGGATCATTCGGCTGACATTTTTTCAAAGCTGCCTGAGGCAGACTTCCAGCATGGAAAACTTCACCTCGAGTGTTTAAAGTTGTGCAAAGTTATAAACAATTGAAAATGGGGTCCTATTTTGGGAAGTATCAGGCAACAGTAACAAACAACCACATATCAATTAGGTTCAAATGTCATCGATACTCCTACAACACAATATAATTTTAAAATAATACACTTTAAAAAATATATAATTTTATAGGCTAACCCTAACTCTAACCCTTTTCTTGGATGCTATAATTGCATAATATAGATACAGGCACAATTGATTCAGAACATTATGAACAACTTTCTGCAAGACACAATCTGGATCATTTAACACAATGTGATTGTGAAACACCTCTACAATTACAGGAGAATGTTATGGACAGCTGTTGTGGTTGCCAACCCTCCAGGATTGGCCTGGAGTCTCATGGAATTAAAGATTAATCTTTAATGCAAGACTGTCATGTGAATAATCTACAGGACTACATCCAACCAAAACTGATACCCTAACAGCTTTGAATAGAAGCCAGAGTTTTATACAGTACGGGGGGTTTACAGGATTATTTTTCTATTTTTTAACAAAAATTATCAACTTCCTTTTTTTTTAAAGCACTTTCAGATGATTTGGAAGCATTAAGAGATGCACAAACGTAACTTATGGAACCCCATGATCTTACCTTTCTTAGACACCCTCTCCCTTTTTGGTCTGCTAGCACTTTATAGACTAACAAAACATGTAGATGGTTTTGTTAGTCTATAAAGTGCTAGCAGACCATTTGTTGTTTTTCCTGTATAGACTAACTCCGCTACCCCCTGAAGCTTCTCCCTCTTTGGTTTGTCACACTCGCTGGGTGCACCCTTGTTTAAAAGAGGCCCCAGTCCTGCACAGACTTATAGAAGGGTTTGCCTGTGAATAGTACCCTTTGAAGTCAATGGGAATACTCAGTATGTAAAGTTAAGCATGAGTCTTTGAAGAACTGCGGGCTTAAGTTACATAAATTCTTTGGGACAGAAACGTGTCTACCTGGTTGTGTATACAGCACCTCGCACAGTAGGGCCTTGTTTGCTGCCACACCACCATTAATAACAACAGATTAAAACAGGGGTTTTTCTGGCTTGAAAAGTCTGTCCTTGAAAACCGTGTGCCTTGCTGGGAGCAACATGGCTACAATAATTCTGCAAATGGGACAGCTAACACTTTGGCAGTTTTCTCCCCACCTTCAAACCTTAAAAAACCAGACTAGAGACTAGGCGATCTTCCTTTTAAACAACAAATGTCCTATTAATTAGCCCTGTTCCTTGCAATCAGATTTACACAGGAACAAGGGGTCGTAGATCCAGCTGTAGAATCGGGGGCTTAATCTATTCTTTAGCTGGAGGAGAGTCTCTGAGTTCTGCAGTGTTCCCTGAATTCTACAGCACCAGGTGGCAGATGTCTGTTAGGAATCGCAAGAATCATTCGTGGGCATCACACCCACTGTAATCTAGGTTTAAAAAGTAATTACAATCGGTCAACATTAAGCCAATATTCCACTGAAAACACACCTTGCTTTCTTTGTAACAGACCAAAAAAAAAACCCCAAAAAAACAAACCACCTGCATGAGTTAAAGCTGTTTTAAAATTCTTTACAAATATCTCAAGGCTTTTAAATACCCGCTTTATTTAGTGAATCAGAGGGGGAGGGAAAGCCTTTAGTGTTGTGATTAGATAGTATGATCTTGGGGCAGATCCTGCAAAAATTTAGGCCTGTGAACTTAATTCATATGAACAGCAATCAAAGTGCGGTAAATTTACATGCCAGCATAATTCTAGGTAGGATCGGGGCTTTAGTTTTGCTGGACTTTCTTTGTTACTCCTTTAGTTACTTTCTGCTTCTTGGATATTAATTTAGAAGCCATGTAATAGAGAAAATCTGTGTGTGAAAGCAGAATGTGTAATACAGAACTCTTATGCTGCAGTGGTACAGAATCAGAACCATTCATCCAAGCCCCTTTGAACTATGAACTTGGGATAACCG